CAGGGCTTTCGGTTAATAGGTTAGTCCCAAAAATAATATAAAAAGGTATATTAAAGCCCATTAAACATCCAAAATAGATAATATAATAGCATGGGACAATCAAAAATTATAGATACATTGGAGATGTATCAGACGGCCCAAAGAATTGTCATGCAGCTACGTCTCCGGCCCGCCCAGGACGAAAAGCCCATTTTCTGTCATGATTTTTTTGGCATAGAAGTAGGACCCCACCACATCTATGATGATACCAGGTTTTGTCACAATTATCGTCATAGAAGTGTCATAAGTATGACATAATTTTTTTCGTTCGGCCCAAAATGTCACGGATGTCTCTTTTTTTTGTAGTGCTAGCTAGGCACAATGCATAGATCTAAGTGTTGTCATCATTAGTTTGCAACTTTTGTAAGGGCCTTTTCAAACCCAGGAGGCTCTTTACACTTCCCAAGATTTTCAGGAAAAGAGACCATCTCGAGATCCAAAATATCCAAACGCTTATTGCAAAGAGTAATCAAGGTATTCATTTGATTGTGGTTCCCATTGATATGTTTCAGAGGTTCATTGTATTTTTATAACTCAACCAAATGTTTATGAATCACTCAACTTATCCAAAAATTGAGCTCCTTCTTGAGTAAAAGAAATCCCCTTTTTGATAGGCGGAATTCCCAAAATCCCTTTTAGGATCTCATAAGCGGCATTGGCATCAAGCTCAATAAAATTTCCTTTAGCGGTAAAATCCAAAAGTTGTCTATGATGCAAAGCTAGACCTATATAAAAATTCTGAAGCAAAACTTTTGCATCTCCTTTTAGATTGCAAACGCGATAGGATTCCATCAGCCTATCATCTGATGCGCCATCCGGTGCTGCCGACTGATGCTACTGTGCCACCTCCTCCTCCTCCTTGCGCTGCTCGACCTCCTCCTCGCGCTCGCGCTGCATTAGGCGCTCCGCTTCCGCTAGCTTGGCTGCTAGTGCATGGCCCTCCCACTCGTGGAGGTGTTGGTGCTCCTCCTCCGTCACGCCCAACCAAACAAGTGGGCATGGTGTTTGTCCGCCGGTACATCTCGAGCATGGGGGTAGTGGCGGTGGTGATGGTGGTAGCGGTGGGTAGACCAGGTTACCGATCGAGGACAACTGGAGTGCCTCCTCGAGGCCAGGTCACCGGGCTAGCTCATCGTGCTCGGCTCCTCGATGGCCCGCCGGGTCGCTTCCTAGAGTGCCACCTAGTACATAGCCCCCTCGTCCTCGTCCTCCTTCACCATCGGCGACAGTGGTGGAGGGAGTGCGTCGATCTGGACACCGTCATAGTGGCGCACTTCATGCTCTGCAGCAAACTAGACATCCCAGTTCAGGGAGTCCGGCACGTAGGCTGGGTCATGATGCCGCACAAGCGTCAGGAGAGCATGACGGTTTAGGAATCATGGCTGCATGTGTGCACTCAAACTGCGGCACGACTGGCACCAGAATCGGGGTGGGGGTCGAGGTGCCAGACGCGAGGGCTGTTGATGTCCAGCCATAATAGCGAGATGCGGTACTCCCAATGGTACTACGGCTGGTGCACCGAGATATACAGTCGGTTGCATGGGTGCTGTCCCCCATGACGCCAACCTGAAGTTGGTCGGACGACACGACGAACCGTCCTTGTGGTCATGCTTTATCGCGCTTGCGGCCGAAGAAGCCCATCGCGACGATAGTGGTTAGGGCTTGTGTCAAGCGGCGTGAGAGCAAGCATGGCCAGATGCGGACTGGTGTGGGGATGGAGAAGTGGGTGAGGTGGCACCCTGTATACTTGCCATTTAAAAAGACGAGGCCTAGATGTTTCCTGTGATCGATGAGCGAGCCCGGACGAATGCGTGGAGTTTACTATGACTAGGGCGGGTAGTTGGTCGGCCGACACGTGGGCCTGAGGCGGACACAGAGGGGACACGTGTCGCGTTCGTCTCATGTCTGCATGGACACAAAGCAGGCGTAAATTCGAACCGGAAATACGTCCAAAAGAACACTAAGGGGACCACATTTGGGGATGCGTCGGTGCATTGGACCATTGTTTCTGTTCGTTTCGGTCAAATGGACATGTGGATCAAATGCGTCAGCATCAGCAAGTTTGCCTTACAGCCTTGGAACCGAACAAAGCCTTAGAGCATCTACACCCGGGCGCCCCAAACTTCCCTCATACGCCCGGATGAACGACCCAATCACTAACCGGGAAAAAACATGACCCAGATGGGCGCCTCGAATCGGCCTCAAACCTCTAGGTTGTCGGGCGCCCCTCATATCCAACCCAAATGTAGGGCGAATATGGGGCGGCCCAGGCATGCTCGGGCGCGTCCGACACGTCAGCCTGGTCCACCCCGACCCCATCCATCCTCACAAAACCCCCAATTCGGAACCCTTGCTCACTTCACTCTCCTCTATCGCCCCGTATCTTCTTCTCCCCTCTTTTGATTTCTTCAATTTTGATCCACTCTGACGACTCCGACGACCATGTTGAGCGCTGACAGTCGCTCCGACTTCGACCTCGACGTTGACGAGGAGCTGGCCCTCCGCATTGCCCTCGAGAGGTCCAAGGTGGACATCAGGCAGTTCCGGATCTGCCACCCCACCTCTCCCCCACCGACGCAGTGCGAACGCCGGAGCTGGCCCCTCCCGCCCCCCGCGCACACCAAAATCGGAGGCGCGCTCTGCCCACTGCGAGAGGTAGCGGGCTAGGGAGAGGGAAGCAACAGAGCAGTCCATGCGCCGCCGCCGCGGGTTGCCGATGGAGCTCGACGAGGATGAGCGGCTCCTCGCTTGGGTTTATCGCTGTTCACTTACGATGGCGGAGATGGATGCTCGACAGCTCCGTCGAAAGAACACCAAGGCGCTTCGGCTTGCCATTGAGCAGTCGGAGCGCATGGCGGCGAAGGCGACTCGGGTGGCAAAGCTGAAGCGGTAGAAGGACAGGGCCATCCCATGGCTGAAAGGGCTCATCCTCCTCTTCGACTCCTTGCCCGATGATGAAGACGCCTCCCCCATCGACTTAGACGATCCACCACCAGTCGCGGACGCCTACAACTGCACCAACGCCCGTAAGGGCAAAGGGCCGGCAAGAAAGTGGCGAAGATCCTCCATCCCCACCTTTAATTTCAAGTTTTTATAATGTAGTTTAAACTTGTTCATGGTTTATGTGGATTATGTGAACTTTGACAATCTTTTGGACATCCGTGGGTGATCTTTTGATGATTGGATGTGCATTTTGTGCCTGATTCTATGTCCATTTTATGATCTATGTAGCTTCATTTACGTTGCATGATTTAGTACGGATAAAGTGTATCAGATATGAGATACATGGATGTGGACGACGCGATTTAAGGACTGACTGGTCAGTGCTCGCAGGCGCGTCTGTGTGGGTTTGAAGGACGGATTTGGTGATCACGCATAGATGATCTTAGGCCAACTCCAACGCACGACCCCAAACAAACGTCCATTTGGGTAGGGAAATGGGGCGGCGTCTGGCCGTTTTCATGGATGCGTTGGCTGTGCGCCCAATGCGCGGGCACATCTGGCCCGCCACGGTTGGTTAGTGCCCGTATGTATACATTTTCTTGGCTCCATTTCTTTTATTATTTCATCAACGACATTTTGATACATTGGAGTACATTCACCAATTCTTGACTATAATAGTAAAACCAAAGAAAACAAGAACTACAATTAGACATTCTAAAAGATATCTAACTTCCATAACTCCTCCCATAAGTTGGATTAGTGTCTTCTTGATGCCTTCATTGTTGATCTGCAACTTCTCGATCTTGCATACGTCTTTCTTCTTCGATTCTAAAAAAGTAGACGTTGCTTGGCATCTAGCCTCATCTCTAGCCATCATTCTCACAATGAGTGCGTGAAACATCTATCAAATTTGGTCCTAGCAATATATCAATGTATTCTTCTTTCCAATACCAAACTTGCATCCATCCCACACACAAATCTGAGTATAAGCAAAGAGCTATCGAAAATGTGCCGAATCCGAGAGCACAATCGAAAGAAAACAAGCACATACCCCATCGTTTTTGTACTTGATGAACACACATCCGGAATGTTCCGGCGTTGAAGATATGCGGCGAATGACCTGTCACGGGCAGTCGTCGCACTTTAGGAGCTGCAAACGGTGAGCCGACGAGCCGATGGGCCCGCACCGAGCCCGGACGACGGTCGGGTGTGTCTGGCGGCGAACCGACGACGAGATAGATTTGAGTGGCTAGAAGCGGAGTCAATACCTTCATGCGGTGTGGAGGCGTTGTCGGGGCCGTGCAGTTCTGTACCTAGACAATCCATGGCAAGGTGCAGCCTCCCACGGCTGGATGCGCTCAAATCCGGTGGCCGGATGTGCTCTCCTCAAATCCGACGGACGGGCTGGATAGTGAGGTGGCCAAGAAAATGGCGGCCGGAGGGTGCAGGGGGTTGCCGGGCTGGACATCAAGGTGGCCAAGAAAATGACAATGACTATGGCGGAGTTAGAAGGCGGGACTGGAAGGAGAAGAGGAATAGAGAAAAGGCCATCTGTGTCGCCGACGGGCGGACCAGAAGAAGACAAGGGCATGCGTCCCTTTATCCCCGCGTGCCCGTTTCAACACAAACACGACCTAAATTTGATGTGGGAACGAGGGCGAAAGTGAACGAAAAATGAATGTTTGTATATTTGCTTCACGTGTTGAGTTGCGTTTTGTGTCTGTTTATCTTCAAACGGATGCGGCTGAAGCATTTGGGTCCTTGGAATTGACCTTAGCGTGTCCCGCCGAGGGAATCGTGGCCGATGGCGAGCCATCCGCGCGCACACTGCTCAGCTCGAAGGGAAGGACTGTGACGTCAGCAGTCCATCGGGCCTCGCGCTCAGTAAGGACACCTATGAGAGACCAAGCCAATCCTCGGGGAAACCTCAGCTCCGTGCTCGCCCACTCCTTCCGTGAGGACCATTATACACACACGCTCCCATCCGAACCCTAGCCTTAGCTAACCCGGCGCTTGCCATGCTCTCCACAGCACCAGCCGCGTATTCCACCTCCTTCGCCGCCTTTCCCACCCTCGCGCGGCGCCGGCACCGGCACCGCCGCGTTCTGCTACCGTTCGCCGCGGCGACGGACGGGGCGGAGCGGTTCGCCGCGAGCAGCTCCATTGCGGATTACCTCCGGTACCGCCGCCCGATGTCCGGGGACCTCTCGGTGGGAGGGGGTGGCGGCAAGCTGCAGACGGCCGTGGTGCGGTACGAGAAGCGGTTTCCATGGTCGCTCATCCACCCTTTTCTCCGTGTAAGTCCAGCATGGTGGATGTCTTCTCTTCTGCTGCGTGCTGCTTGCTTTAGATTTGATTGTTGTAGAATCGAATATTTGTTTCGAATTTCTCTAGAACTGTTTAAATTTGACTATTATTTTCATGATAGCTAGGCGTGTAATTTATGGCTAGAAGCCGTGGATTATGTTAATGGTTCAAACAGTTTGGCAACGGGTAAAACTTTCTTCGGATTCGTGAGTTGGAAGTGTGTTACACTATTGTTTGCAGGCACATCTTATAAAACGTAAATGATTGATGGAATCGCACATTTATTGAATTCATGCTCCAGCCAACTCATCCAAAAGTCTGAACTGATGGAGGGAGATGGGCAATATATTTCAACTCCCCCCCCCCCCCACGTCTAGGCTATTTTAGTCCTTAGACGTGGGATCGATGTAGGTCGTAGAATCGTTTTATTTAATACTGTGTTGGCAGGGTCTTGAACTCAAGACCTCTTGGCTCGGATACCATATAAAACGTAAAGGATTGATGGAATCCCACATCGCCCTGTAGGGGTGCGTTGATCTCATATATATAACAAAGGACAGTACAAGTATATACCATCGTGTACTATTTGGATTCTAACACATCTGTATACTGCAATTCAACAACAATGACGATTTCAACTCGCCGAAGTTTGCCGGCTAACTTATACTACCTCCATTCTAGAAGGAGTATATGACTAGCCTACCAAAACGTCATATATTTTACTCCCTCCGTTCTAAAAATAGATGACCCAACTTTGTACTAAAGTTAGTATAAAGTTGAGTCATCTATTTTGGAACGGAGGGAGTAGAATGGAGCCAGTATTCTTTCTGGACCCTGATAAGTGTCACACGTGTGGCACAAACACATGGCAACTCCGAACGTTTTTATGGCAAGTTTAGTGACGCGAGGATGACAACTTTATTTGTCAAGCATGGCAACTTTCTTTTCGGATGGCAAGTTTCGTTTTTTTGGTTTTTTTTGTTTTTGGATGGTAAATTTAGTTGTAAAAATGCCAGGGCCGGAGTGCTTCATGCCACATGTGTGGCACTTATCATTTGGGTTCTTTTTTCTTGAGGGAGGTCGCCCACTTAAATTCCATTACTAGAAAGGCTGGAAACACATGCAATTACATATACACACACAGCCGCGGTGGGACACACTTATGCGCACACACAGTGTCCCTCGGTGGGGAGGTACAACAAGCGCGCCACAACATGAGCGGTGTAACACACTCAAACAAGGGTGGCACACCAGAGGTTGATGGGGGAAGGATCAACACGACGGGGGCAACAAACTGTACCCAGGTTGAGGTGATCAATGATCATGTGCCGAAGATCCTCATTTGATGACCGCATCTTGTCGAACATCATGC